CGACACTGCCGTTCGCTTCAATTAAGTCATTTAGTTGTTTAATTAACTCTCTGTCACTATTATTTCTACCTTGCTTACCATCTAGGCAAGTAAATCTCGACATAAAAACATTCACTGAAATCTCCGTTCAAAATATGGCTCCCGTGACGTAATTAAAAAGTTCCTATTGTCTGTTTTCGTTTATGTAATTCTGGACCACTATCTACTGTGGCTATTGTACATCAAATAATGTACAAAATGTGTTCAAATATAGCATGATTAAAAAACGATATTCAAGAGAACAAATTATCAGATAAAATGCAAATAAATTAATCAATTAATAAATTTAGATTTAAATTTAAGTCCAAAAGAATATATATCTATATCTATATACATTGTATATATATATATATATATATATATATATATATATATATATATATATATATATATATATATATATATATATATATGAAAAAAAAATCAGTAGGCTTAGTGATAGAAATTCTCAGTGAACATAATATTTTCATGTATCATGAATTTTATTGTTTACTTATTGTTTTTAAAACATTGATGATTTAATGCATTATTTAATGTTTAAATAAGTTTAACATATATTTGTTTAAAATAATTCAACCAACATGGTGACATTAGATACCAAGTTCTTGTTCAATTGTAGAATTGTTACAATTACAGTGTGCAGAACATAAGGAGCAACCTTTAAATGCAGGACACAACTCGTCGTGGCCCTTACAATTTCTTCCATTTTCAGTTAAAGAAATATCTTTCATGCCCTTTATTGTCATGTGTTGCAAAATTGCATATCTCACACACATCTCTTTTTGCAAGGAAAATTGGGTAATTTTAATGATGCTTTCATCGTGTTTTTCTTTATCATGGATCTACCATATGCATAGCAGATAGCATAGGATTGCCTTCCATCTCTACCTGCACTTCCAACCTCCTGCCAGTATCTCAGAACTGATTTTGGCAGTCCCCAATGTACATGTACCACAATTTGAATGTCTGTGATCTGTATGCCCATCCCAAATGCAACAGTTGCAAAGAGACAGCGAAGACTGCTTTCTTGCATTTTAAATGATTCCAACACTCTAAGGCTGCTTCTCTCATCTATAGATCGGTGAAACATATCTATTATTTCTATGGATTTGTTCCGCTCCAGAAGACAATCCTTCACATGATTGTACAATGTTGCGGTTGCTGTAACAGATCTAGATCTGGAAAATACAACATTTTTTAGATACAGGAAAAAAAAATGATATTAATTATCCAAGTCCAATCAAGGGTGTACGGGGATTAACCCCGGATTTTATTCCATACACCCTGAGGCCGAAGGGTGTAAGGAATACAACCCCGGGTAAATCCCCGTACACCCTTGATTGGACCTGGATAATGAAATATATGGAGATAACGAACAGTATTCAAGTTCAAAAGTCCATTAAACAATACAAAATAGGAGCAGAGCAAACACGGACCTCCAAAACATCAGAGGTGGGATCAGGTGCCATGGAGGAGTGAGCATCCCCTGCCGACCGGTCACACCCGCCGTGTGCTCCTTGTCATGATCGGGAAATAACGGTAAAATCCGTCGACAATTCAGTGTGTAAATAATGGCCTAACAATTAGTATGAAAAACGTCACTCAGCATTTGACTCAATGATAAATTGTATTTGCTGACAAGATCATTGTATCGACCATAGAACTTACGAAATGATGACTTTAAACGAGACTGCTGATATTCTTGTTTCATCAACTTGTTTGTCAATAACTTACCTCGTTTTAGAAATTGTACATACGTGGAGCATGCTCTTGTGTATCGAATCAACTGAGAGATATAAACCCCGTATGCAGGTGATGAAGGTATATTGCTGCATAAGAAAGGGAAGTTAACGATTGAAAAGTTAAAGTCATCACGTTTATCATAAAGCTTGGTTGTTAGATTACCATTAACGTCTTTTTCAAGTAAGATATCCAAATTTGAAACAGATGTGTCAGACTCAGTGGTATCTTTTATCTTAAGCTCACCAGGATATATCGTATCGACATAAGACTGAAAATAATCATTGTTAATTGACAATACGTCGTCGATATATCTAAATGTCGAGTTGAAGGCCACTGTGTTTTCTTCTTTTCACGTAAAACATTTTGGACAAATTCTGCTTCATATGAATACAAAAATAAAAAAAAACAAATAAACAAAATTACAAAACAAAAATAATAAAACAAAATAACAAATTTATTTCTTATGTACCCAAATAAATTCTTTATAAACAAGTCCTATCAACTGTGTTTCAAGCTATCGATAAGATTTACTACGTCCTACGATGCATCATGACGTCATGTTATTTCCTTTTTATCATAGAGAAACTATGCAAGTTGGGTGTAAATTTCTGTATATCCGGTTCAAGTCGGGTGTACAGAAATTTACACCCGACTTTGTAACCAATCAAAGCTTGTGGTACAAACTACAGAGGAAATAAGTCGATATATTATATATTTATATATTATATAATATATTGTATTTTTTTTAAAAGTGTAGAAAGTACTCTTGCCTGCTATGCACAATGATTTTCCTGGCATTGATGCCCTCTTGTGTTAGATATTCAACAAGCCACTGTAATTCTCCTTCATGACTTTGTTTAGAAGCCTTAAAGTTCAAATATATATTAGGCCTCTAAAATAATATAGATTTCAATGTATTTAAAAGCTGTTACTCAGTTAAGTCAAAATCTTAAAGATAAAATTTATACATAATATAATTTCACAGGAATATAATGTAATGTAAATGCAATGTGCTTCATCAGATGGTAAGTAAACATATCCTTTTCTGGAGATCATCAGATAGAAAGATATCCCTCCAAAATTTGGATGTGGCTGACTCAGGAGAAATAAAAACTACGGAATATTTACCCTGTTTAATGTCTGTAAAAGTAATAAGCAATTAAGTAAAACATTTATTTCTTGCTTTAGTTATATCCAATTTGAAGTTAATTACTAATGTTAATCCCACCTTTGTATATACATGTTTCATGTTGCATTTCTGGTGAAATGGCTATAGCTCTGACCCCCATTTCTGTAAGGGAATTCGCTTGGTCTGCCATTAATGATTTCAATGGTGACACAACAACAGAAATATGTTGAATGGTCCGATCCAGCAAAAGAAAAAAACATACAGAACATTAAAAAATATATTGAGACATCATCAGGAGTGAAATCATAATAACAGAGGACATAAATACCTCATCAAGTAAAAGAGGTGGCAGCGTAAAGCACATCGACTTCCCATACCCTGTCGGCAAGAGTGCGAAAGTATTGTTCATTGTACCCAGCAGGAAGGACATCTGTTCATCTTTTAGTGTAAATTGAAACTTGTATAACTGTTTCAAAGAATTGAAAGTCTCCACGATATATCCTTTTCATCCATTACTAGCTATACAGTTTACTCAGATATTTTGGCGGGAGATGACGTAACGAAGTAAACAGATTGATACCATGTTGAAACACTCGTTGACGCCTGTGAAAACCCCACGAAAATCTAAAGTTTTTCGAACAGTGGGAACGACACCGACAAAATTTAAAGAAGGAAAGGTATATTATTGATGAAATAATGCACTGTTTTTAAAATTAGTATCAGAATATTTTTTTTTGGGGGGGGGGGGGGCGTGTTTGATTCAACATCAGATTTTTTGGCCAGAATGTTTACAAAATTGGTAAGCAATTTTATATAGCTGTTTCAGGGATTTTTGGGAATGGGTCCCAGGCCTTTGGAATTTAACAACATTTTATCACTTACTGGGAAATTTTAATACATGATGAATAAAATTGATCTTTTACTTAATTATTCTGAACTGTAAATTAAAGAATAATATCAATTATAAAAAAGTTTTAGCCAAGTTTCTTAAAATTTTGTTCATTCATTTCATTCAGTCTTCCAAGACTGGCTATGTTTTTTACCAAAACTTTGATCAAGTTAACTTGTGGGTTCATTTTTGGGGAAAAGGGAGGGATTTTGCAATTGGGAATGGCGCCTTTATTCGGCGCTACACGGGGCATTGGAAAATCCCTGTGTTTCAATTTTATTTGCAAGATTTAAAACTAATTTCAGGGGAGAAGGTCCATTGCAAATGCTTGTCGATTGCTAGAAAATTATAAATACAAGAAAGCATTCCGAAACCTATATAACCATTTTCCTGGAGCAAAGAAAGCAGTCAGTAACTTAATCAAGAACGAAATCAGAAAGGGAATAAAGGAAACAAATAACTCCTTAGTTAAGAAATGCAGCATGGAAAACATTGTTGGATTCAAGTGGGATTCTATAATGACAGATGTGTCAAAGCACATACCCCTATTGCATGCTGCAATAATTGCAACTATTAGCAGTCCATCGACAGAAGCAACTCTTCAGTCAGGGAATGCATGCTATGAAAAAAATGAATTGCAAGTAAAATTGCCTATTAGTTTATAAAAATGTCTTCTACCAAATGTTATGACTAATTATTTGATTAAAAACTGCAATATTGTTCTGTATTGCTTAACCTTATTTTTGTATCATTTAAGGAAAAACAAATCTCTGATTCCTGGCGCAGGATTGGCCGCATTCATCCTCTTGCACTTGAGATCGCCTTTCAAAGTGAAGTTTGTGCAAGGGCTAAATTCTATAGACTGTGGAGGAGTGGGACACAAAGGAAGGTATTTCATTCATGAACATTATTTTCATCATGATATTGATTAAAGATTATTTTATGCAACATGTTCTTACTAATGATAATATTATTTGCAGGCATTTGGTCATTTGAACAAACTAGGGTTTTGTACTAGTTTAAAGACGGTCCTAAGAATCATAACTCATAACAAATCTCAGGGTACATGCTGATGCAGATGTTTTGAAAATGAACAATGTTATTGAGGTTTGATTTTTTTTTTTACAAATTTATTTTTAAATGAAAATTAATTGCAAAAAATTCCAGGTATTTACAATCAAGGAACAGATTAAATCAGGGATGTTTGAAGTTCCTGAGGAAGAAGTTGGTTATAGGAGCAGTGAAGACAGTAGCCCTGTAATAAGTGAGGAGAGTGAAAGAGAGACTGAATCATCACAGGCCTTAGTATCTTCATCACCAACAATTAGCAGCTCATTGCAGGAGTTGCCTAGTGATAGAGAAACTGATGTTGAGATACAAAGTATTGAGTCTAAAGGAGGTAATGGGATAAATTAAGGAATCATATTTAATAGAAATGATTAATCTTTTTTTTTCAAAATAAAGACTTATACGAGTATACACTGTAACTATGTGTATATTTTACTATGGTATTATATTAGATCTTTCTTTACCTGGATATACCATTACATGGGACAATGTTGGCAAGATGACAAAGGCATGCCATCAAAACACAAACAGACAGAACAAAATGATGCTGTGGGCCTTATCATATTGTGCAGAAAATCGCATCCCTACTACTCATATCACTGCTGAAGAGGTTCTAAGGGCTGTTGACATTCCCATGAAAAAGTTTCTGCCCATGAAGCACGACCTTCAAGAAGTAAGAAACTGCATGGAAATCATTGTCATGCGAATAATTCAGCAACATGTTCCTTACTTTGCCAACAGCAAGGTTGTGAAACACATTAGGCACAAATACTGGAGGGAATCAAATAAAAAGAGCAAAGTGGTAAGATTTTTGCTTCTGGGTTCTATTTAAAAATAAAAAAAATATTGCTCAACCCATTCGAAATCTTAAAGGAACTGACCAGAAATGAAACTAGATTACTACTATGACATTGTCTAAAATAACGTTAGAATCATTTACAGTTCTTCCAGTGGAAAAATGAAGGCAATATTAGGGATTCCATTTTTATCTAAGTTCATTTTTATTATAATTAGTACATGTACTTTTCTTGATTTTAGATCAGTCTCGGGGTTTGTCAAGAGAATCCTTCAACTGCAGCAAGTACCATTATGATTTTAGAAAATTTACACCAATACGTGCCAGTGCATGAAGACAGAACTCATGAGATACTCTGTTTTGGGGATGGACTTTCCTGTGAGCGCCATAATGATGCTTACTTGAGTAGGTCAAATGGAGAAAGTGTTATGGACAGACTGCAGGGTCTACAACCCCAAGTTCAAGAATTTCATAAGAGAATGCTACTCATGCCGGTAAACTGAGTTTTTTTCCTATCAGTTATGCTAATGTACTTAAAATGCACCAGATTCATCTTTATTCATGTTTCATTTGCCAATTTCAGGATATTATGAACTTATTTTTCCATGGCTCAAGTGCAGCCGAAAAAGGAACTCTATTCCACCTAAAAAATGTGTTAAGACATAGATCCGCGAAGAAGGATGTAGGTAAAACCTTCAATCTTGCTGCAGATACATCAAGTTTGTAACATATGGCTATGTGTTCCTGGCTACCCTGGAGGTGTGCGGCATGGACAATCTTGATGAACAACCCCAAGGAAATCTTGATGAAAAAGATGTTGATTTGTATATCACGGAGGTATCCAGGAATGTGGTAGACTTGATATGGCAAAACCCAAATACACAAGAAATCCTTGCAGTATCAGACCAGAATCTGCAGTCAGAATACATCTACTGCAAATGCAAAACTGGTAATATTAATACTTAGAAATATTTGAGTTTGAAATAATTTCTTATTGACTAATGGAATTTTGTTCTATTTGATTTATCCTTATCATTTAAAAATTTTAATTAAAATATCTAGATCTAGGAGACGAGGCACCGATGATTGACTGCCGACTGCTGACTGATGATTGAGGCTGACGATGGACTAGACGGTAAGCAAGGTAGAAATAATAGTGACAGAGAGTTAATTAAACAAATGACTTAATTGAATCGAACGGCAGTGTCGTCTAGGTGAATAATTCTTGCTATAGTCGGCCGAAGTTGGGGCTTAATTTCAAGATGTGAATTATGAAGGACTGTCCCGAGATCCGGCGTCAGACCAAATATCTAAAAGAGCCGAATCTCCACTGAGATTAGGTGATCTGATTAGCTGTAACAGTCTAACGTAATAGTGTACAGTGTAACAGTAATACTTTGTTGTGACTTGACTTCTACGTTTTGATGAATGTGAATGGATTATGTCTTATCTATAGCATGACATATTTTAGATTCATGGAAAAATCTTTAGTTAAAATGAATTTGTTATTTTGTGTCAGTGATTGTGATGTTCATATTATGGAACACAACATAGGCCTATAGCTGTGTTAAAAATATATTAAACATAATAAAAATTTCAAGAAATTGAGACCTAAATTTTATTTTGGTATGTCTTGGCAAGTAAAAAAGGTTATGCGAAAATTTGATATTAATTTTTTTGTTGGGGGGGGGGGGTATTTTTAATTGTCAGGTATGTATAATCTAGGACCTTGAAAATAGAGCCTTGCTGCTGCTACACATGTATTCACTTTACAATGCATATCTGCCATCATTTTTACAATAAACAGATTTGATTTTGTTCTTTTCATTTAATCACCATAGTAGAAAAGAAACATCAATCGTGGTCGCAACACTTACTGTACGTATTCTTTGAAGTTGCAAATCATTTTTTTTATGCCCCCGGATCGAAAGATCCCGGGGGTATATTGTTTTTGTCCTGTCTGTCTGTTTATCTGTTTGTCTGTTTATCTGTTTGTCTGTTTGTCTGTATGTCTGTTGTCAACTTTAACCTTGCCCATAACTTTTGATTGGTTGAAGCTATGTCTTTCATATTTTACATGTTTATTCCTTGTGACAAGACCTTTCTCTGGGTACCATCATATTTGACTCTTTGACCTTGACCTTGGAGTTTGACCCCCTTTTTAAAAAAAATTATGAGACTTTAACCTTGGCCATAACTTCTGAACAGTTGGAGCTTGGGGTTTCAAACTTCACATGTGTATTCTTTGTGACCAGGCCTTCCTTTGGATACCAACCACTTTGACCTTTTGACCTTGACCTTGGAGTTTGACCTACTTTTGAAAAACTTTAACCTTGGCCATAATTTTTGAACAGTTGGTGCTTGGGGATTCAAACGTCACACGTGTATTTCTTGTAACAAGACCTTCCTCTGGATACCAACCACTTTGACCTTTTGGCCTAGACATAGGAGTTTGACCTACTTTTGAAAAACTTTAACCTTTGCCATAACTTTTGAATGGTTGATGCTAGGGCTATCATACTTCACATATGTAATCCCTGTGACATCACCTTCCTTTGAATACCAACCATTGTGACCTTTTGACCTTGACATAGCAGTTTGACCTACTTTTGAAAAACTTTAACCTTGGCCATAATTTTTGAATGGTTGGTGCTAGGGCTTTCATTCTTCACGTATGTAATCCTTGTGACAAGACCTTCCTTTGGATACCAACCACTTTGACCTTTTGACCTTGACATAGGAGTTTGACCTACTTTCGAAAAACTTTAACCTTGGCCATAACTTTCGAATGGTTGGTGCTAGGGCTTTCGTGCTTCGCATATGTAATCCTTGTGACAAGACCTTCCTTTGGATACCAACCACTTTGACCCTTTGACCTTGACATAGGAGTTTGACCTACTTTCGAAAAACTTTAACCTTGGCCATAACTTTTGAATGGTTGGTGCTAGGGCTTTCATACTATACATACGTAATCCTTGTGACAAGACCTTCCTTTGGATTCCAACAACTTTGACCTTGACCTTGATGTTTTACTTACTTTAAAAAAACTTTAACCTTCGCCATAACTTTTGAACAGTTGCAGCTAGGGCTTTCAAATTTAACATTTTTTATCTTTTGGCCTGGATTTTGACTTGCATTTGAGAAACTTTAACCTTCGCCATAACCTGCCATACGGGGGCATCTGTGTTTCACAAACACATCTTGTTTCTTTCATGTGTTTGTATGATGATCATTTGGCTTAATGCCTGGCTGATTGATTAAAATGCATGTTTACATAATTCTGTTTTTTTAAATGTGTTCCTCTTAAGTAAATTGTAATTTAAAATTTTTTTTCCCATTCTCTTTGCAGTAAATCAGTACATAAAATCATAATAAGTAGCTAGATTGAAGAACTATTGCTTCATTGAATCTTCGTTTACTGTTGGACGTGCTAGCTGTCAATAAAAATGGCTAGAATAATGATACCGTAGTAAAGAGCAAGGAGTTTGTAAAGTAAACATTTTAGAATGAGGATTTAGGATATTACGATATTTATCATATACTGTTAGACGAAGGATAAATGTACATGTATCACATTGAATGGCATTAACGGGTATTGATGGAGAAATCCTTTCCCCTGTATTGTCGTCGTGCATTTTATACCATGCGTCAAATAACGAAGGCAAACAACTCCGTTTATTTTGGCGTTCTTGCATAGTTTGTTTATTTGTTTGTATGTTGTTTAACGTCCCTCTCGAGAATTTTTCACTCATATGGAGACGCAACCACTTGCCGGTGGAGAGCTGAAAATTTTGTCCTATACTCGGCACTTACGGCCATTGAGCACTGAGGGATCTTTTTCGTGCCAGCACCTACTGCGACACGGAACCTCGGTTTATACGGTCTCATCCGAAGGACCGGTCTCCACGTCCCACAATGGGATTCGAACCCGCGACGTAAGGATCAACTCCTTACTCCGCGACTCTAGAGCAGACGCTCTAACCACTGCACCACGCGGGCGACCGTTCTTGCATAGTAGATATATGTATACACTGAAAAATAATTTTAACCCCCCCCCCCCCCGAGAAGCAGCATATACGTTAAAAGATTTCATTCAATCTTACAATACAAATTTCTTTTACATGTATAAGAGAAATTCATTCTTATTTTCAATGTTTAGTTCAATGAATTCTGTAGATTAATCAATTTTGCTAGGGACCTTAAATTTCACTCCGTCTGTCCTTAATTATAGATAAAAGAATAATATCAGACTTGGGTTGGTGTTAGGAAAATTGATAACCCACTCTAATTTATGCTGAATAATCAAATTATTGATTTTAAATGTTTATTTTGAAATTACTTTCATGTCTTTTTTTTTAATTACATGTGTTTACAAACAATAAAAGCTTTTAATTCTTCGGACCAGTCTACATGCCGGGAGAACTGTAATTCATAATTGCACGTGTCACAATGTTCAAGGTCTGTTTCATGCGCAGGTGTAAGGGGGGGGGGGGGAGGGTGTGGGATGTGAGTTTTGGCCTCCCTGGAATTATTTAAGAAAAATGAATTTTCCTTAAAATGTGTGAAGTTACCTTGCTCCCGGAAACAAGAGCATCCTCTTATAGTTAAAAAGGAGAGTCATGTATCTGAAGAAAATTTATTTAAGAAAATGTCTAAAGTGTCCCCCTCCATGAAATAGGTTTCCCTGGATCGAGCAAAGTGTAATTATAATAGTTAATATAAACAATACACCCACCCACCCAACTTCCCCTGGAAAAATATTCCTGGATCCGCACCCGTGTTTTCCTTGATTTTGATATGTATTTTTAAAGGACAATTTGGAATCACTTATGTTTGCAAAAGGAAGAACCCTGAACAACTTTTCCTGCTGTTGTACTCTTGCAGTCGTGTTCGGTGTCTCTTTTCCTTTTTTTGCATCCGATTTTACATCGCGGCAGGAACGTTCTCCGCACACTCTGCTAAAGTGTCCCTCTTTTCCACATCTATGGCAGCGGTTCTTCAAGGCGTTGCAGACAGAGTAATGCCGTCTGTTACATCTGCTGCAAAACGGCGCTGAAACCTGCCATTGTGGTCGGAACTGCATGCCAGTCCAATGTTAAAGCTGGTCGTCCTCGGAAACTTTGAGATTTGCGGAATACTCGCTTAGCTTCATGAGAGGTAGTGTTGTACCCGCATATCTGCACCAGTTAGCACTATTTTTCTTAAATTCTCGCCCGATCAACACTCAGGCTGTGCTAAAATAAGACCATGTAGAAACCATGGACGTCTTATTGCTCGCTTGAAGAACTTTTCTTTGAGTTCCCCGACGATGTCGCTCACGGATTCTGTCAGCCACGATTTGCGTTCCTTTCTATCTAGGAGTCTTGTTAAACAGATTCAAGACAAACTCCGACCGGCGTTTTAACTTTTAACAAGCTAATTCAGAGAATTTGTGTCCCCCACTTAGGGAAAAAAGAAGAGCATGCGCAGTTCGGGGGAGGAGGGTCACAATGCCCCCTGTATTTGTAGAATTATTAAATGTATACATGTATATTGTAGCAAATTAAAAAAAAAGCCAATATGGGTATAAAGATTTGATTGCTTATTCTTTAATATGTGTATAGAAGATTCTTTTTAATAAACTATATACAGAATATTTATCACACTGTAATAATGATTTTATGAGTTTGTGCACTCCAGACATCATAACTTTTTCATTTCACATGTTGAATAGAATATCATTTAATA